TATTCATCCCTTGTATTACAAAATTATTAACGACTTACATTTATATTATTTACATAGTAAACACAAAAGTGATTTTTAAATTTGACCATATAGAGACCTACTTTGGTCGCTAACTTTAAATGAATTTAATTTAGCGACCAAAGTTGGTCACTAAATGTACATGAATTTAAATTAGAGACCAAATTTGGTCACTAAAATTTAATCAAATTTATTTATATTTTATATAATATTTAAATTAATAATAAAAATTGTTAAACGTTTGAACTGGGTCCCACATTGGTGACCAACTTTGGTCGCTAAATTTTGAATTATATTTATTTATATTTTATAATTTTTGTACATAAATATATATTTATTAAAATATTATAACTGGGTCCCACTTTAGCGACCAAAGTTGGTCGCTATCTTCTTATCCTTCAGTTAGCGACCAACTTTGGTCGCAAGTTTTAAATTATATATATTTATATTTTATAAGTTTTATAAAATAATAATAAAATTATTAAAAAAATTTGTGCGGGTCCCACTTTTGCGACCAACATCGGTCGCTAAACTCAGTGTATCTTTGACCAAGCAAGTCTGACCAATCCAGTCAACAGTTTGACTAAATTTGCGTCCAAATAGCGACCAACTATGGTCGCTAAATTATTTCAAATATTTTTTTTTATTATTTTCGGTAGTTTGGCGACCAACTTTGGTCGCTTTTCTTAACAGACCAAATTTTGTCTCCAATATTTGGTCGTTTTTTGGTCGAATTCTAGTAGTGAAACTCTCTGCATTTCTTTCCATGGATTCCACGAGGTATTCTTCTCCATATACCTTTTAGATCATGTTTTATTGTCCCTCTCTGCATCCATTTCAGCAGCCTTTCTTAGGCACTCCTCTGAAAATTTACACTCAAAGAACAAGTGTTCGATTGTTTCCCTTTGGCTCCCACGTATCGTACATGCACTATTTTGGCTTATCTCCAGCTTTAGCATTCTATCCTTAGTCAGTAGCTTCCTATGCATGGCAAACCAGCTAGTAAAGTTGTGTTTTGGCACATTCATCTGACCCCATACCCCCGATACCATGGTTGTTTCTCTGCTTCTCCTTTATACCATTGGTATCCACTTTTCACAGTATATTTTCCCCATGTTTGAGCCATCCATTATTCACAAAACCAACTGCAAATTTATCCCTGCAAGTATATATTTTCTTCCAATACCAACAGCTGTCAATTGGTGGTTCATACTGCCACTATGCCTGATCTTTTATATATACATGATTGACCCATTTCATCCAAAGGTTGCCCTCTTTATTTGCTATATTCCAAACATATTTGACCATTGCTGCTTCATTCCATGCAATCCTTTATCCCCAATCCTCCTTGTTGTTTTGGTTTACACATAGTGTCCCATGCTACTAATGCCAGTTTGGTTGAATTTCCTTTTCCATCCCACAAGAAGCTTCTGCATATGCCTATTATGCTTTTTAAGACCTTTTTTGGGAGTATGAAGATTGAGGCCCAATATGAGTGCATGTGCATCAATACTGAGTTCACTAACATCACCCTTCCAGCATATGAAATATTCCTTGAACCCCATGTTCGAACTTTGGTAGCCATCTTCTCTACCAGCATTTCACAATCTGTTGCTGAGAGCTTCCTAGCAGATCTTGGTACCCCCAGGTACCTAAATGGTAATGCTCCTCTTTGGTACCCTGTAGGCTCACATATGTCCTGAATGCATTGTTCCTCCATGTTTGCACTGTAGATGTTTGATTTAGCTGCACTGGTGTGTAATCCTGATGCTCTTGAGAAGGTTTCCAGCCCCCTTAGGATCATTTCCACTGATTGATATTCCCCTTTACAAAAGAATAACACATCATCTGCAAAACATAGGTGGTTTAGTTTGAGCCCTCTACATTTAGTATGAAACTGGAACCCTTTTTGTTCAGTGATCCATTTCATAATTCTTGATAGGTATTCCTCGCAAATAACAAATATTAGGGGTGATATTGGGTCCCCTTGCCTTAGTCCTCATTTGCCCTAAATGTTCCCATAGACTCCACCATTTACTGCTATTGTATATTGGGTAGATGTGATGCAAGCCATCACCCATTTTATGAAATTTTGAGGAAAGTTAAGAGAGTGCAGCATCTCTTCCACAAATCCCCACTCCACAGTATCATATGCTTTCCTTAGGTCTACTTTGATCAGACAGCTTTTAGTTGTATTCTTCCTCTTGTACAGCCTCACCAGGTCTTGGCATATCAGTATGTTATGCACTATGTTCTTGCCTTTCACAAAAGCATTTTGGTTAGGAGATATTATCCCAGGTAATACCTTTTTAAGCCTATTGCAGAGCATCTTCGAGATCACTTTATATATTGTATTGCAATAGGCAATAGGTCTATAGTCACCTACTGCCTCAGTATGAGAGCTCTTGGGGATAAGTGTTATCACAGTGTTATTGACAATTTTGAGCATTTTGCCTTCTCTAAAGAACTTCAGAACTCCATTCTTTACATCTGTACCCACAACATCCCAACAGTCTTTATAAAACTGGCTTCCAAATTCATCCGGCCCTGGGGCTTTATCTCCTGCAATTTCCCATAGAGCCTCATTCACCTCTGTGTCTGTGAAGTCTGCTTCCAGTTCATTCCTTTGCTCCTCTTTCACTATTGGTCCTTGTCTTATAATCTGGCTATTTACATGATCTCTTTCCTCCATTCTCTTTTCCAACATTTCTGTATAGAATTCTATAATGCTTTTGGAATCTTTACTGGATCATCTATGTCATCCCCTTTCATGTCCTTGATGTGGAATATTCTGTTACAGTTCCTTCTAGGTTTCACCAGGCCATGAAAGTATTTAGTGTTCTGGTCTCCCTGATTTAGCCATTGTGCCTTGGCCTTTTGTTATAAGAACATGTTCCTTGTCTTTTCCCACTTGCTACATTCCTCATTTAACCTTACTTCCTCATTGATCAAGGCTTCATTTCTGAGGTCCTGTTGTACCTTACTTTGACATAGTTGCAGGTTATTTAGTGCTTCCTCTGCTCTTTATTCAATGTTGCTGAATCTCTCCTTATTGATCTTCTGCAAAGTGCTCTTGATTCTGTGCAGTTTCCCCACCAGTTGGTACATCTGTGTGTCCCTTCTATTTGTTTTCCAGTTTTCTTTTATTCTTTCTTTGAAATCCCTTGCCATTCTCCACATATATAAAATTTCAATTTTATATTTGATAGGTTATGTGTCCTGTTATGTTTTGATGATCTAACAAACTTAATGATAAGAACTAGATAGGAAACCTGTTCCACATCCTCAAAGTGCTCAAGAATAACAAGTCTTAAGTCTGGGATATGTTTCAACAATTCAGAGTCAAAGAAACAACAGAGGAAATAGATGGATATCAGTTCCTGTACAGTCAACTCCCCACAGCTGTAAAGTCGTTGCAACTGTTCCTCTGTACACATACAAAGTGCAACAGTCACTTTATGGGGATTGTCCTTGTACCAAATAAGTTTGCATCATCCAAGTGATGTCACTTGTATAATATTAACATGAAGCCAAGGAAAAACAACACACTTATAGAATAGAGTAATTTAATATTTGTATCAGTAGAAGATAGGATGTACTCATAAAATGCATGTAAATCGATTCATATTGTGAAATCATAGGTCTATAGTTCATCATGTGCGTCCACCGTTACACTCCTTTTCACCATCAGTGACCACGAGAAAGAATTTTAAAATCCGTCACCACCCACCCACCCAAGCAAGAAATTAAACTCAAAGACAATAATACAAGAAGGAGTAACAAATTTGAAATCATTGAAACAATGTTCTTTTAGATGAAAGACATGAACCAAAACATCAAACAGATACTTAAATACTTAAATACTTTTCTCTTTCTTATTCATCAAACAAAGGTTTCGAAGTTCCTCCACAACTTCTTGGTCAATCTCTTTTTCTTCCTTTATTCTGATTTTCTCACTCAATTCCTTTGATGTCTCCCTCAGTTCTTCTCCCATCTTCTTCTCCATTATAACATTTCTTATGGCTTTTGCTATCTCCTCTCTTTTTAGCCCTCCTTTTTCATCTCTCTGAACTTTCAATGCCATGCCAAGCTCAACTGCATAATTTGCTGTTATAAACTGATCCATATTAAATGGCATGGCTATAAGTGGAACCCCAAAATGTATACACTCAACTGTGGAATTCCAACCACAATGATTCAAGAATCCGCCGATGCTTTTATGCCTCATGATTTTGGCATGAGGTACCCATCTTGAAACAACCATCCCTCTCTCCTTAACTCTATTCAGAAATCCCTCAGGTAAAACTTGTTCAACTTCGCTCCCTGGAAACCTAAGTACCCATAAAAAGTTTACATTGCTTAGCTCAATTCCATGAGCAATCTCTTGAATATTTTCCTTTGACCAGACATTTTCACTTCCAAATACTGCATAGACAGTTGAAAATGGATCTCTCTTGTCGAGCCATTCTATGATGTCGGAATCTTGATCATCCTGAGTGCTTTCATCAGTTTGCCCTATGAGTGGACCGACACTTAAAGTCTTCTTATTGATTATAGAGGACAGGTACTGCATATATTTTACCTCAGTTTCCTTCCAATTGTTGATCAAAACGATGTCACAAGACTTTTTGCGTGCACTATAGACGAGGATTTTTTCCATAAATACCGTTATAGACGATCCAGTAGGCTTTGAAACCAGTCCTATCTCTATCTCATTGTTAGAGAGACATATTTCTGGGAAAGGGTAATCATCAGTAGCACCATCACTCAAATAAATATGATACATAAAAGAATAGGATGCTGCACTAACAACTGAGAAACTAACAATAGGAATATTTTTTGATAAAGCAATATCTGGAGCCCATGCCTGAAAGAAATCTTCTATGATCAAATCAGGGCTAAGATTGTTGACTATGATGGAAAAGCTTTCGCCAGCCATTTTATAGGCCGTGAAAAGAGGTGGATAGAGATGGTTAGGAAGACCTTTGGTGCTCTGGTAGTGTGAAGGAAGATCAGGCATAGATGGCAAGTGAAGTTCTACGAGTTCGATATTAGTGTTTGAAACATCTGAGAAGTATTTTTCTTGGCTTTGCTTGAGGAAACTAAGGACGGCAGAAGTGGAACAAAGATAGATGTGGAAGTTGGCTTTGGAGAGCTTTTTGGCAAGTTCAAAAAATGGAGTTGCATGACCATGTGCTATCATTGGAACCATCAGAATTTTTTGAGGGTCATCAACCTGCTGTTTTTTCCCCTCCATGAAATCAAAGTTTACTCTTGGTTGTGGGAGAAGTGGGATTTGTTGTTTGAACAGATCAAAATCCGTAGAATATAAAAGGTATGTGTTAGGCAAAGATGAATACTAATCAGATTATATTGTTGGAAAAGATCAGAAGAGAAGAGAAGAGAGGAGGGGAAGTTCTTTCAACTTTTCTTGATTCATCCAATACAGAAGAAATTATTTATAGGCAAAAGGACTTGCTTTTTCAGAAAGGTAAAGAACAGCCCATGCATAAAGCATCTCATATTCACACAGGGGTAATGACCTTATAGTGATCGACTAGTCACCTTCAGAAAATAAAATAACTTGCTAAACTTGATGATTTTGTCATGTAACATAAATAAGATGCACACGGTGTAGTTATATTACTAATTGGCAAAAAAAAAAAAATACTTAGTCATTTATTGATTCTTGTAATCTGTTACATTGTCAAAGTTCAATTATTATGATACAATTATTGCTATAAAGATCATGCTAAGCAATCACAACGCACGATGGGAAGTTACAAGGAATAGAGCCCAATTATATTTAATGAAAGTATAGCTCTCCAGTTGACTTAGAGGATCTCTTGTTTGTTTTAGTATAATAAAAGTAAACCTCTCCTTTGTTTTAAGAATGAAACACCAAGGAGCTAATTAACAGGTAGAGAAATGGCTTCTTCTGATCATCCTACTACTACTGCAACTCATGTTGTTATGTTCCCTTTCATATCCAAAGAGGCATACCATTCCATTCTTCGACCTTGCTCGGCTTCTTCTCAATCGCGGAATAATTTCTATGATCACCATGTTCACCACTCCGGCAAATCATCCTTTCTTCTCCAGCTCCCTTTCTGATACCAACATTAATATCATCGACATCCCCTTTCCTCAAAACATACAAGGAATTCCCCCCGGTGTCGAAAGTCTTTTATAGTCCCCGACTTCCCCTAGATTAAACTCACTAGAAACGATTTTGATTCACCGCTCAGAGAGCGTGAACAAAAGGGCCCCTTTTTCCAGTTTGTCATGGAGTCAATCATAGCCACCTCTAAAAGTTATGGTGTTCTTTTTAACAGCTTTTATGAGCTCGAATGTATTTCTGTAGACTACTTTAATACTAGATGTAGTCCTAGAGCATGGTGCATTGGACCATCTTGTGAGCAACAAAAAGCACATCATGAAGTGGCTTGACGGAATGCTAAAACAGAGAAAGCCAGTTTTGTACGTTGCATTTGGGACCCAAGCACAGATATCACCTGAACAATTCAAGGAAATTAAAATTGGGTTGGAAAAATCCCAATTCAATTTCTTGTGGGTTGTAAGGAGAAACACTATAGCTGATGAAGTTTGCGATTGTTGAAGTTTGGCAAATTCTTTGTCCCACATCGGTGGGCTCTTGAGTTTGGGGGATTTTCCCCCTATAAAAGAAGGCCTAATGTTTAGGATTTAAATACACCTCTCATTTGCCTTCTTATCTGTTTAAGGCATTTGTATCTTCTCTCTTTAGTATTATTTCACTTGTATTTTTGGAGTGGAATAAAATATTGGTTGTTTCCGAGGAGTAGGCAAAATTAGCCGAACCTCGTAAATTCTGGCGTTCCCTTTATTGTTGCTTTATTGTCTTATTTATTATTTGGTGGCTGTCATAATTTTTGGTATAGTAGTTGTGACTTATTCACACTATATACATTTGACTTCCGCAATAATTGGTATCAGAGCCAAGGTACTGTCTAAGTATGCTCTGTGGTTGCAGCATAGTCTGATCTTCCACATCAGAAAAGATTTATCTTGGTAACTGAGTCAAGGTTCTGTCTGAGTATGCTCTGTGGTTGCAGCTTAGTCTGATCTTCTACATCAGAAAGGAANTGCTTTGTCTACAACAGAGGCAGAGTACATGGCTATTACAGAGGCTGTGAAAGAGGCAATTTGGCTTCAAGGATTGCTAAAGGAGCTTGGTGTTGAACAAAAAGGTATCACAATTTTTTGTGATAGTCAAAGTGCTATTCAATTAGCGAAGAACCAAGTTTATCATGCAAGGACAAAGCATATTGATGTTCGGTATCATTTCGTACGAGAAATCATAGAAGAAGGAGGAGTCACGATGAAGAAAATTCATACTACGGAGAATCCTGCTGATATGCTGACAAAGGTGGTGACTGCGATCAAGTTTCAACATTGTTTGGATTTGATCAACATTGTTGAACACTGAAGATTGAAGATTTAGACACAATCAAAAATTTGAAATTTGTTATTGAGAGAAAATTGAAGATGTGGAATTTTGCCAAGATGGAGATTTGTTGAAGTTTGGCAAATTCTTTGTCCCACATCGGTGGGCTCTTGAGTTTGGGGGGGATTTTCCCCCTATAAAAGAAGGCCTAATGTTTAGGATTTAAACACACCTCTCATTTGCCTTCTCATCTGTTTAACGCATTTGTATCTTCTCTCTTTAGTATTATTTCACTTGTATTTTTGGAGTGGAATAAAATATTGGTTGTGTCCGAGGAGTAGACAAAATTAGCCAAACCTCGTAAATTCTGGTGTTCCCTTTATTGTTGCTTTATTGTCTTATTTATTATTTGGTGGCTGTCATAATTTTTGGTATAGTAACTGTGACGTATTCACACTATATACATTTGGCTTCCGCAACAGCGATGTCGTAGGGTTTGAGTTTGAAGATAGCGTGAAGAATAGGGGACTGGTGGTGACAGAATGGGTTGATCAAAGAGAAATCCTGAGTCACGAGAGCTTCAAGGGGTTTTAAGCCATTGTGGTTGGAACTCTGATAATAGAGAGCATATGCGCAAAGGTTACAATTCTGGCATGGCCAATGATGGCGGAACAGCATCTAAATGCTAGACTGGTGGTGGAGGAAATCAAGATCGGGATAAGAGTTGAGACATGTGATGAGTGCAGTGAGAGGGTTCGTGAATTGGGAAGGTTTGGAAAAGCCGGCAAGGGAGTTGATGGAAGGAGAAAAAGGTAAAGAGGTAAGGAACAAAGCGAAGGAAATCGGGGAAGATGCTGTCAAACAAGGTGAATCATTCTGGAAAGCATTGAATGACCTGATTCTTGAGTTAACACAGTTTTGATCAGTTGTCATGTTTCTTGTTGAATTTGTTAACAAATAAATTTGTGTTGTTCGAATTGCATTTTTTTTTTAAGTTTACGTATGCCCATTTTATAACTAGTTGGACTTGTAACTATAATCAACATTATGTATTATTTACTAAAATAAAAAAATAGTTTCACTCTGTACTCTTTCATAATTTATAAGTAACAAAAGGGATGGAGTTGATCACTTTAGTAAGTTTTCTGCAACATATTTGAGTACGTGGATTCAAAACTGGCATTTGCGTTTTTTTAAGCCTCCAACAATTTTGCAAAGTCATCAAACATAGAGAAGGTATATATCTAGAAAATATAACTTTGAAACATCTTAATCATAAAATTATACATAGATAAATTTGTTGTGTTAAGCTCCCGTTATGTTTGATGACTTTGCAAAATTGTTGGAGGCTTAAAAAAAAGCAAATGCCAGTTTTGAATCCACGTACTGAAATATGTTGCAGAAAACTTACTAAAGTGATCGACTCCATCCCTTTTGTTACTTATAAATTATGTAAGAGTACAGAGTGAAATTATTTTGTTACTTATAAATTATTTTGCATAAAATTTATAAGTGAGGTATAAGGATTCTTTACAAAGTATCTTTTGTATTTTTTTGCACATTGTATAGGAACATATGGTAGGCTTTTAGTTGACCTAACATCGAGGGCGTATCCAACCATACAGTATCAAGTTCATCCGAACTTAATATTTTTGATACGGAATATAAATTTATGTATAAGAATTCACTAGAATTATAATAAACAGTAGACATGAACCTATAATTTCAAATATATTATGAGTTAATGCTTTAAGCACCTTAAATGTTGAACCCATAGAATTTAAATCTTAGATTCGCTTCTGCTAATAGTAAAAAAGAAGAGGGTAAAACAAAATATTACTCATTTGCCGCTGCTATAAAATGGCGATGAGTAGAGTTAAGAAGCAAACGATATTGAAAGATGGGAGTTAGCAATGAACACATCACAGTACATGATTATACCCCATACCATATTTCCGAATAAAGGGCTCGAAAGAGCTATGAAACTCAATTAATTAGCATATCAAGACTGTAAGATGTTATGTTCTCTTTTCTTTCAATGATTTGGCCAAACCAGTCATATGCCTCTTTTTCATTGATGGTGGAAGTAGGCGCTTCACCACATTTACAAATTTTGAAGAAACAATCAACCTCTATTGTAACCAGTCATGTAACGAGTCATTTTGAAGATAAAATTAGGTAAATAAAAGCATATTCTTTTAAATAGGTAAAATTCTTAGATGAGATGGTCACTTTAATATTACTAATTTCTGGATACGAGAGTTGCGCGTATATGTCACGACCCAAACCGATGGGCTGCGACGGCCACCCGATACCTTACTCGACCGAGTACCAACGTAACGTATCTTTCATATCATTCTATAATAAGTAAATAAACTGGAGTAAAGCATGGGGGAATACAAACTTATACATATGAAGTACGAGCTTATAAGACCAAAATAACCACTCGTGTACTGAACATGGGCCGACAAAGCCATACAATCTTTTACGTACATGACATCTGTCTACAGGCCTCTAAGAATACATAATTTTCATAAAGGTCGGGACAGAGTCCCGCCATACCAANGTGATTTACCTAAATAAGCCACCTTGGCATGTGACTAATGAGTCAATTATTCAAGACCTCTATGGCTGCCACCTTTTAGCTTATCCATCCTCAACCAATCAACCACTAACATCTTAGTTAATTATTAATCCTCCATTAACAAATAATGACCCAATTATCCATATAATTAAGAATTATCTCAAATTACATAAAATATTACTCACTTTTAACACACCTTATACACCTTACTATCATTGTCATGTAGTACCTTGTATGACACTAGTCT